AGTACAGGCAGCAGTAGGTTAATGGAGTGTCACTGCAGAGACAGTGTAAAGACATTGTGATGTCATAGTACAGGCAGCAGTAGGTTAATGGAGTGTCACTGCAGAGACAGTGTAAAGACATTGTGATGTCATAGTACAGGCAGCAGTAGGTTAATGGAGTGTCACTGCAGAGACAGTGTAAAGACATTGTGATGTCATAGTACAGGCAGCAGTAGGTTAATGGAGTGTCACTGCAGAGACAGTGTAAAGACATTGTGATGTCATAGTACAGGCAGCAGTAGGTTAATGGAGTGTCACTGCAGAGACAGTGTAAAGACATTGTGATGTCATAGTACAGGCAGCAGTAGGTTAATGGAGTGTCACTGCAGAGACAGTGTAAAGACATTGTGATGTCATAGTACAGGCAGCAGTAGGTTAATGGAGTGTCACTGCAGAGACAGTGTAAAGACATTGTGATGTCATAGTACAGGCAGCAGTAGGTTAATGGAGTGTCACTGCAGAGACAGTGTAAAGACATTGTGATGTCATAGTACAGGCAGCAGTAGGTTAATGGAGTGTCACTGCAGAGACAGTGTAAAGACATTGTGATGTCATAGTACAGGCAGCAGTAGGTTAATGGAGTGTCACTGCAGAGACAGTGTAAAGACATTGTGATGTCATAGTACAGGCAGCAGTAGGTTAATGGAGTGTCACTGCAGAGACAGTGTAAAGACATTGTGATGTCATAGTACAGGCAGCAGTAGGTTAATGGAGTGTCACTGCAGAGACAGTGTAAAGACATTGTGATGTCATAGTACAGGCAGCAGCAGATTAATGTAGTGTCACTGCAGAGAAAGTGTAAAGTGATATAATGACACATAAGAGGCACTGTGAGGTCCCTGTTCTGTGAGTCACCCAAAATTTGGAATTATTGTGATAACAATTCTTTGTGGTGTTTTGTAATGAAAGTGTTATGAATGTCACAAATGATACAGTGTGATGTCATAATAAAGTCAGTGATATGCCAGAAAAGAGACTGATGTCAATGCAGTAGACAGTTTGAGCAGAAACATTTGATGAAATAACTATTAAAGCGCTTTACTCATAATAACAATTGTGATATTTATTATTATTATTATTATTTTTATTATTATTAAGTCATATACCAACCCTCTTTAATATGGATGGATTTTCTAAGTCATGCCAATGTTAATGGATAGCTGTATATATGTATATCATGTTTATATCAGTTAAATTTTATTTTCATTAATAGGGTGTTCTTCCTGGATGTTCCCAATGATTCTGTAATCGAGCGCCTAACTCTGCGCGCCACCGACCCCATCACAGGAGAGCGTTACCACATGCTGTACAATCCTCCGCGCACACAGGAGGTGAAAGAGAGGCTGCGCAGGGCCCCCAAGGACTCTCCCGAGGAGGTCCAGAAGAGGCTAGGGGCTTATCAGGCCTTTGTGGACGAACTGACGGATTACTATGTGGACGCCCAGCACGTGAACGCAGACCAGGACCCCCACACTGTGTTTGAGTGTCTGGAGAGCATGATGGTGAACCCTATACCACAGAGGTTTGATGACTGAGAACATCATACATTATAAACTGTGCATGAAATACATAGATTACAGATAATAGGGTCACATTGAGCCGTCCATGTTCTGTGAATATTTTTAAATTAGCTTCCCGTGGTGAAAACCACCACTATGACTATGATCTTGTCATGGGTAAAAAAATTTTTTTTTTCATTTCTTTTTATGACATAAAAACCTATTTATTATTATTTTTATATCATTTGATGGGAAAGCTGTCTACAACTATTTTTCATACCGTGCTAAAACTTTCTGAATTTTTTGTCCTTCTTGAAATACTAAAATGAAAAAATTCATATTGTACATACATTTTCCAGTCTGAATGTAAGTAATAAATATGAAGGCTTTGAAGAGTCCTAAACCTGTGTCCTAAATGCTTGAAATGAGGTGATGCATTTATAATTGTATGTTTTTGTTGATACAACCACACTTGTGGTTTTGTAAATAAAGATCGACACAATATACAAGTATTAATTTGTGGAATATTTTTGTTGTTGCAGGCTTGTACCCAGCAATATCAGAGGGGGGGAGGGGGGATCTTTTTCTGAAAAAAACTCGTACCTTTTTAACCCCTTACTAGTAGTTGACCTAGTACCTTGAGAAATGGCATTTTAGTTGAAGTTTCCTGCATTATAATTTAAGGACAATTTATTAAAGTATAGGGGATATGTATTCTTCTTGAAGAGACAAAAAAGAAAAATAAACAATGAAATCTGATGAAAAATTTGGACACATTTTGTTAAAGTGGCAAAAACTGTACATTTATAAAAACAAATTTATTGTCAGTTTTACAGAACATGAATGCATTTATGCCACATTGAATTACAAATGTGAAAAGCATATTTTTTATTTGACAACCAACATGAAAGCTACGAGGTATAATTTTATAACACTTTTTACACATACATGTACATACAATAATTTATTTTACACATGCTTTACAAGTTAATGTATTCCTGTTAAAGTTAACTGAAGTATTTGAACTGGCCATCCCAATATTGCAAGTGAAGTTATCTACTTAATACAGGACACAAGCAGTAGCACATGTTCTGTATAATAGGGGTCAGAGTTTGCAAGCTGTACTGCAGTATGTGATATATGAAAAGCATGAGTGGATATCACATGCATGTACATTTTACAGGCAAGTGTTGTGTCTGAGTTTTACCAAGCCTTATTATCTTCTTTTTTTTAATGCCTGATACTGGCCTACCCAACTACCAGACTCCACACTGAATGATCCCGAATTCACCGGTAGATCGGACCAAACTACTTGTTTTCAAGGTGTGCGTCAGTAGGCATTTCACAGTATCATATCCCAAACAAGTTTTGAGTGGTGATGCAATACTTTCCAACCCCGCTGAGAATCATCACTATCACATCACATACTAGGCAAGAGCGGTGTCACGTCTGATACTTCGAGACTGATACTGATACACACCTTGAAAATGGGTAGCGTGATCCGATCTACAGGTGAATTCAAGATCATTCAGTGCCGGGTCTGGTAGTTGGGTAGGCCTGAAACATGTACACTTTACAGGCAAGTGTTGTACCTCAGTTTTACCATGCCTAATTATCTTCTTTTTTTAATGCCTGATACTGGCATATGTACAGGTGTACACAAGATATGCCACACCTGGTCAATTTCCACGACATCCACTGTGGTTCAATACTGTGCCTGTTCAAAAGCATTATGTGACAACATTTAGAAATCAAATTTCATAAGACAATTTAGCCTGTAAAACCTACTTGTTGCAGGATTGGTTGCCAATTCAATCAATCTTGGAACAAGTCCCCAAAAATATTAATTTTTCCCCACTATTTTCAAGGTGTCCAATATTTTTTGGTTCTTTAATAAATCCAAACATGACACAGTAAAGAGTTCCCATTCTGTTTCAACAAAGTAATGCTTCATGGCAAGACTACAACAGAAATGTCATAGCAATTCAAGGCAAATACCAGTATTTGTATAAAACATGAATCAGTTTTACACTATTCAGTGAACAAAATATCCAATGCAACTCTATAAGAACACTTCTGGTTAGCAGCAGATATGTCCATTTAAAATTCTGAATCAGTAGATTTGAATGTTATATCCATTTCCTGACGTTTTATTCAACACATCTAGATTGCAATCCAACAATTCTGCACGTCTTTTATGACTGTGATAATTGCCACTGTCCAGTTCTGAATTAATACAAGTTTTTCTTATCTGAAATCTAAGTTTTCAGTATTCATCACAGTCTTACACTTGTTCCATTGGGTCTCCGTACAATTCCTCATGACTGTCAAGTTCTCCATGAAGTCCTCATAACTATAAAGTTTTCCATGAGTCTTCATGACTATCAATCAAGTTCTCCATATGAAACTTTGTGACTATAAAATTCTCCACACAAATTCTCATGACAATCAAGCTCTCTCCACAAGTCTTTGTGACTATCAATGAAGTTTTCCATCTGAGTCCTCATGACTATCAAGTTCTCTCCACAAGTCTTCATGACTATCAGTGAAGTTTTCCCTCTGAGTCCTCATGACTATCAAGTTCTCCATACAAGATCAAATGACTATCGTGCAAGTTTTCACAACTTTATCATTCAGGTTCTCCATATGAGTCCTCAAGCATGACTATCAACTTCTTCATAAGAGTCCTCATGATTATCAAGTTCTCTGTACAACTCCTCATGACTTGTTATAGTCTCTCAATTAAATTCTCCATACAAGTCCTCATGGCTGCCAACTTCCCCACAAGACTCCTAATGACTATCAAGATCTTCATATAAGTCGTCATGACTATCAAGTTCTCATCTTGTCATCATGCTGGCCAGTCTTCATCAAGAGGCAGTCATGCAGACTGGAAACTCCCTTGACCAATGTCCAGTTGTCAGGCACCTGGCACTGGTCCCTCCTCTCAGGACACGGCCATGCTTACACCAGAAGGTCACTGTTGTGCCAGTGAGCACATGTCTTTTATATAGGTGTCTATAGCTAGAGCCTTTTATCTTCAGATGTTTGGATAACTTGGGGATCTTGCAAACTGAAATTATAGAATATGTATGAATGTGATTGAATGAAAAGTTTGATGTTTGATGTACAAGATGTTTTATTTATGGGGCCTGAAAAAAAGTGTCTGACAAATGTTGTGTAAAGGTTTCAGATTATAACCACTAGTATATCCATGTTGCAGATATTCTAATTAATTTACTAAATATCACTGATGTAAAAACATTTCAATAAGAAAATAAGTTTTACAAATAACATACATAATCTTCGTCTTTTTTCTTCAATTAAATCAGTTTGGCCGGTATCTAAGTTACTGGAAGTGACTGAAAAAAAATACAAGAGTAAAAAAATTTAAATATCACATGATAACTACCTTTTTACATTTGGACTGATTAAAGTTTATGTTCCCCTCTAATATTACTAGTGAAATCTTCACATATTGAAACATATTCCTCAGGAAAAGTGTATTAAGAAGTCACCATTAACACAGATCCATATAGTTATAAGTTTCTGGTGATGCCTTAATTAGGGCAGTTTACTATATATTTATATATATATATATATATATAAATATATATATATATATATATTTATATATATACTATACAAAAAATTAAAATCTGATAATGATAGAATGTACATCAAATGTAAAGATTTCTGACAGGTTCCAGTCTCTGGCAGTTTAAACACCTTGACGTCAGACAATTTTAATTTTTTCAGACTGCCAAAACTAGGAAAGATAGAGTCCTGACATTTTCAGCATTTATTAAAAACATTTTCCTAAAATATGCCAGATTTCATTGCATATATCTCTGAAGTTATTGAACTTTGAAATAAAAGTAACATTTTTTGAGTCGCCCTTTATCTATATACAGCCCTACATATTTCAGCACTGTACTGTATCTGGCTTAAAAACACTTACCTATTACAGTAACTGCCATGTGGTCCATCTGACTTGTGGAGGATTGATGGACACAGCTGTAGATTCCAGAGTTATTTTTCTGGACATGTTTAAAAGTCAATCTGAGCAGAGTGAATCCAGGTGATTTCACCCTGGGTTTTAAGCCATCCTCTGATATTGAGTTAGATAGTTTTACTTTTGTTATATCAGTAGCACCTTTGATATTGAGTGACTCAGATAAGTTTGCTGATGTATAAACTCCCCCAGGGGTTTGCCAGTATAATTCTGCTTCTGTATTTATTGTATTATGTTTATAGATAGTGCAGTCAAATTGTATACTGGAGTTTTCTTCTAGATAGATTGAACCATTTTTCATAATTCTCATTTTTCCTTGAAGCAAGTGTAAAGATATGTTCTTTGGTATGTCACTTCTCTTTTCTAAAACATAACTGGATATAGTGTTACTATTAAAGTTATTCCTGTCTTCTTTTTTCCATGACAAATTACTGGGTATTTTGTCTTCTGTAATCCAAGGAACTAAACTGAACCCTGAAATGAGAGTAATCACCACAGCTGTATATTTAATGCAATGTTGTTCAGAGGCAAAAGATCAATTTCTTGAAATTCAATGTCAATTTTTTGGATACCATTTAAAGTGTCTATTTTGCAGGCATTGTTCTGTGAGAGCAAGATTGTTACATAAAAAATAATTATGAGAATTCTTTTAACAATTACATGTACACAATTTTCATTCACAAATCACTTTCACTTAGAACTTAACTAAAACATTTTGACAAATCCACCTTTGGTATCTTCTGATTCAGCAAATCTTCTGAAACGTCTGTAGTATTTCCTCCATATGGTAGCAGGTGGTAACCATGGAAACTGAGGTAAGTTGGGGTGCTGGTCCATGACACACCTTGGTTTGATATCAGGGCTCCACATGCCTCCTATACAGGTGGCGCGGGTAGGACCCTGGAACAGTTAGGAATTTCAAAACTGATTTATTATTTCTGGGAAGAAGCCACTGCACATTTTATATTATTGAGTTCCTTCCAAACTAATTACAACAGTTAGATTCCATTGTAATCATACTTAGTCTATTTTCTTCATAACAAATTGAATCCTTTAAAAACAGAATGAAAATGCAAAGCGGATGTCAATTCGATTGTTCAAAATGTCTTTTGCATCTAAATAAGAAAAAAAAACGCAATGGCCGGTAAAAAAATGAAAAAAAAAATAATTGATTAAAATAACTCATTGCCAATCACATATAAACTGTAGTCTTGATTTTCTGAGCTAATATCAGCAAATGGAAGGAACAGAAAAACAGACCTTCAAGGGCCTGCCCCATCTTTATCTACGCTATGAAAAAATACAGAAAAAAGAAAAGAGACTCTTGCGCTCCCTACCTCCAGCATGGATCCCCTGTCACATTGGAACTCTATCTGCTGTCCCTGTCCTATCTGTGTCACATAGGGTCTGTAGTCGTACTTGCCAATGTAACCGACCAGGAGTATCCTGCCATACTGCAGAGAACCCGGGTGTGGGCAATACACTACTAGACAATACCAGAACATGGTGAGAATTTCAACATAACTACAGCATGTGTATAATATGTGTATTGGATTTTTATTATGAAATGTTTTCTGATTAGAAAGAGCTTATTATGGATGCCAAAATCTAATTTATTTGATATGTTTATATGTAATTCAATATAAATGATATCATGACAACAACACTATAGCTTGTATACAAGTTATGGTGTGTGGAAAAAACATTTTTATTTTAATTGAGGAATTTTATCATGGCACAAAGATTGTGCAGTGTACTCACTCTCCGCGCAGTAAGGTATTCTTCCTCTCCATCTGCCGTACAAACACGTCATAAACTCATCATTTACGATACGAAATCCCATGTTACAGGAGTAGCGAGCCAGCGAGCCATGGTTCATGTCAATGTAGCGCACAATTCCATTCTTGATGTCTCCAGGTCTTGTTGAGCAGTTCTCTGGAAAAGAAAGCACAATCTCAACAAACACAATTTTAACAGGCTGGAAAAGAAAACACAATCTCAACAAGCACAATTCATTTCTCTAAAAAAAAGAAAGCAATCTTATCTAGCACAATCCAGCAAGCATTTTCACAGAATTTCTGGACTCTCAGACATAAGGTTGGGGAATCTGCATGACTTTTGGAAACCGATGCCAGATGCAATATGCTAAATATAAGTTTGAGATTGCCCCATGTAGCATGAGACACTTCCATCAATAAGCGCAACTTACTAGGGATGCAGCTTGGCATATAGGACACAGTTCCATTATAGCACACAGACTTGGTCTTGGTGTCATTCAAGGCATGTCCCTCATAACAAGCCAGTGTGAGCACTCTGCCGTGGTCTATTTTATCCCTCGGGCTGTAACCATGAACTGTGCCATTGTCCAGGGTTGGCACAGGGCACCGCCCTGGAAAAGATAACAAGGAAAATCACTTAGAGGGACAGTTCATGAAATACAGTGGTTTTAATTTGTCTTCAGCAGATTCTCTATGGGCTTTTGTTCCACATTGCTTGGCCTCATGCAAACTGCTATCTTCGGTAAATAATTAAGCAGAAGCAAATTTAAAGGCAACAAATGTCTCACTGAGTGTATCTGAAATATATTATCTAATTTCCACCAATCAAGAAAATGTTCAAATGTTGGAATTTTTTTTTTTTCTTCGAAATTTTCAGTAAATGGGACATTATTATCAATCTCTAATGTTCCTTGTAGGTTTGGGAAGTAATATGTAAAATATGCACCTATAAACATATAAAAATAAAAGATGTATAAGACCATGGGGTCTGCCGTGGTCACTTACTCCAACAGTTAGGGATGGGTTCTGACCAGTTCCCCGTGTCCAGACACTGGGCCGAGACTGCCCCCTGCAGAGTCATTCCCTGATAGCATCTGAAAAGAATACAGCCCAGGGACACTCTTACTGAGAGCACAGAGATACATTATCATTTATCCCATCTCTGGTCTCATTTGTTATGATGGGTAGATAATATTAGAGCAGTATCTTAGTTACATATACAGGATTATTATTTACTCAGGACGGAAAAAAAGAAAATATTATACAGTTAACTTCTGTTCATGTTATTATCCATGTAAATAAAAATAAGGCACGGTTCTCAAATTTGTGAATATACACATGCTTCTTTTGTACCCTTCAAGCAAGGACTATGCCAATTAGAATCAAGGGTTCAAAATAAGACTGACAACAGTAAAGTAGTAAACAGATCCAAAATGTATACTATTTTGTTTACATACAAAAATATACAAATAAAGCTGGGAACATGAAAACATAATTCCTTTCATTCATTCCTCTGACCTTCATTTATCAACTTATTCAAACATTCAAACGAAACCAATAACACTGATGAATCAAAAAAAAAATAATAATAATAATAAATATATATATCCTTATCTGTCTCCATCTTACCTGAAGTAAATGGTATGCCCATATGTGGTATGTTGTCCATCTGGATATCCATTCCATAGATTCTGGGGCCAGCCACAGTCAATTTCTAAAATAAAAAACAACTAATATATTTAAAATGATCATCATTTCATAAATTCTTAAAACATTTAGTCACATTCTGAATATTTCACTGTTTATACCCCAAAAAATGACTGTTTGAAGAATGTGTTATATTGGTCATGTTGCTGTAAACACTGTGCCCACACTATTAATCTAGACCAGGACTAAATACAGGGAAGTTCCTGACATTTCCCTTAAATACGTCATCAGATGACAGAACCACTTGGACAAGTAATATGGGATACAACATAAAATACTTCGATGGCCTGTTCCACAAAAATGACTGAAAACGAATATTGGACTTATTGAAAACTGCCATGATTGTAGGCCTATGAAAGAGCTCTATCAAAATTAAGCAGTCTAAGTAAAACCAAATAACTTAAGACATAAGGTGAAAAAAAAACCCTGAGTTCTGATCATCGAAGTATAACCAGACATACTCCCATGGTCTTATTAAGACATCATAATAAATAGGTAAATTAGTCAAATGGCACGACACAAGTTCTCCCTAGTTTGTCCCTACCCTCACATTTCACATCAGTTCCCGTCCAATGTGCATTCTCCTGGCATTTCCTCTCACTGGGGCCCTGCAGTCTGTACCCCTCCAAACACGTAAACCTGACCACGGAGTTGAAGGCCACAGAGTAACCGTACATGTTCCCGTTCTCTGGGATGGACAGGGGTTGGCACTGGATAGCTGGAGGCAGAGGGGATACATGGTAAGTGACTATATCACATTGCATTATGTCATCGATCCCTTGCCTGACAGTTACTCAAACTTTAAAAAAAATCTACGAAATGATGAGTTGTTTAAAACTGCCTATGATTCACGTGAAGTGATTTTCTTCAATCAAAAGCTTATATATTGAAATTGTTTATCTCCAATATTTCCATATTTCTTTTTGCTGAAATACTGGAGGTAAACAATTTCAACATAGGCTGTTGATTGAAGAAAAACAATTTAATCTTATAACATTACACAGATGATAAAATTTTTCTCTGGCTATGATTCAGTAGTGACATTTCAGTTGCTCTTAATTTAATAAAATCAAAATATAAGAACTTTTAATTATGTTCAACTTGGACATCATTATTGAGAAAATGAAATAGCAGTATTCTGTGTAGCGAAAGTTCAGATCCTTTCAACAACAAACACTTAAAACAAATTGACAAATGTTTGTGTAACTTTCTCACATTCAAAAGCATCAGAAGGTTCTGAATTTCTTAAACTTTTTTGTCAATAATTAAAACAGGCAGTGATCTAACCTGTGCAGTTATCATTTTTTAAATTAAACATGCCATGCATTTACTAAAACATCTAAGAACTACATACGCTTGCATTTAGGCACAAATCTCGACCACTTTCCGTTGGCCTGGCACATGCGGTACTGGCTTCCCACCAGCTCATAGCCAGGGTCACAGGAGAAGGTCACTCTATGAGGGTAGATGAAGATGTCCCCCTTCCTTTGTCCATTCTTCACAAAGCCTGGGTCACCACAACTCTTAGCTGTTTAGTGACAAAAAAACAAAAATACATACATATAAAGAAGTATGAAATATAAAGTCTAATACAATAAAGAAGATCTGGCCAATATCATTTAGAAACAGTTAATTAACAGCTACTGGTACATTGTTGGGTCATTTGCTCTGTAGCACAAACTTAAAACAAATGGAAAACACAAACATTCATCTCATAGTCAAATTGTGTTAGTGAAACCCATTGCTATTGTGCTTAGATGTGACTCCAACACAATCGATCTAACTTTTCTTTTTTAACTCCACCCCTCCCCCTCGACTTAAGTTACTAACTCTTTCAGCTAAGTATGTCCACTAAATTATTGTCATTCTGTCTCATATCTCAATAACTGGCATATGACATTTAACTTTTTCAAATCTAACCATAAAATTTTCATCCGTGTGAGAGCTACAAAAACAGAAGATGTGTCGAAGACAGGATACTGGTAAGTGCCACCATAAAAGTGCAATAATTTTCCACACCACATTCTCCTTATATCCATCATTCTCTCACACATTATATCTCCACTTGAGAAAATTGATTTCATAATTCAACAAGACTGTAGCTGTTACCAACAAATGGTTTCATACATGTATCCCACCTAGTTCTCTCAGAAACACGCTGAAACTGTAAATCCAATAGCAAGTCAAAAGAAACACCTTTGAGGAGCTTAAAGAGAAGGTGTGAGACCTTTTACCGAGAAGCACCTGTATCAATATGATATCCTTTAAGTGTTACGACATATCAATTTTGAATAATTTGAGCATTTCCTACTTCATGGACGCATAAATAAACCTATTAGGAAAAAATACACTGTAATACTGCTCTTAATATAAAACAATTGAACCAATATGAAGTTTTTACTGTGGGATCAACTACTGATCAACAGGGCAATTGGGCCAGTGTAATTGATCAAAATATTTCAAAACTAAAGCATATAGATCAGGCTAAAAACAAAAACTTTGAGATTGAAAAGAAGTTAACTTCTAAAAGAATGCACTGTAATAATGGCTTTCCCTTGCTGCATGCAAACAGTGTGATTTTCATTATGAGGCACATTGTAGTTTACTTACCGCTGCCTTAAACAACAAGAAGGGCGTGTTTACACATGTGTTATTATGTGTTTCTTCCCTCTAGCAATCTCACTTAATGATATAACTGTTTAACTTGGGAACTCTCTTGACCCCATATGGACAGGCATGGAGCCTCTCCTACTAACCTCATAGACCAGGCCTATTGCCAGCAACTTCAAAGGAGGGATTTTTCTGGAAACATTGCAGGGGCAGATTGAGGCTGTCTTCTGGGTCTTCCGGAAGATGGTGAGATTTTTCAAGTGTACATTGATGTTTTTTTCTGTCGGAAGACGGTCAAAAATGGAGGATGGATCAACAATGATAATTTGGAAGACTGTCCAGGATTTAATATCTCTGGACCTGCCCCTGAAGTGGGCCTTTTTACCCCCATAGTTGGCCCATTTTAAAATATGCCATTGAAACTAGATCAATTTGTGATTCAGAGCAGTCCTTTGCCAGCCAAAAGGATGGTTCTTTTTGAACTCTGAGAACCCCTGTCTATAGGTCGGTATTTTCATCGAACAAGTTATTGGCTTATTACAATTGTTTTTATACAACAAATCACCGTAGGCATGGGAGATTTGGAAGGTGGTGTGAAAGAACCAGCATTTTGGCCAGCAAATGTCTGCTCTACAGTAGATCACACTTTGAACTACATTCCATATTGTTTCTCAAGTTTAGTCAACTAAGGCGGTAAGATGGCCCAAACTTTCAGAAAAAGACTGAAAAATTCCTTCCATTGAAAGTGCTGGATACATTCAGGCTTGCTATCAGCAGTAGGGCACATACATGTACATGTACCAGCATCACAGTTTCCTTAACTCAATATTGGACCTGTAAAAGCCGAGCTCTTGCAACAAACTTATCAGTTTCACCTAATTATGGAGCAATTTCAGTGGATGTTTGTTGTATATGTTTTAGATTCATTTCGCCCTCACACTGATAAAGTCAGCAGATTCATTCTATATCCCAACTTCTCAAATATCAAAAATAATGCAATTACATTACCTGTGTTGAAGGGAGATATCATTTTGGAATTCTTTGCTCAGCTAGAAAATTTTACGAATTCCAGACTTCATATGAGTGTGTTTTAATGTACATAAATTTGTAAAGAGCACAGTAAATATTTCATAAGCATTTCAAGCTGCCATGGCATTTCTGTGAGTTCCTGTGTCCTAATCAAATTATGGCACCACAGCTACAAATAACATCTTTATTGTCACAATAATATTTCCATGTTTTGAATCTTAATAAGAGAATATGGAAATGCAAGAACTACCTGTGATGCTGCTTCGTGTGCTGTTTGTCAAAAATTGCACTTAATTTTTAGGTGTTTTTATCCAGGATTTTTATCAAATTATGAAATTTTTTCACCCTATTATTTTATCATGATAGCTGGAGTGAAAAACTTTTTTGCAGTATATTGCTGTGATTAAAATGCTGTTTTAATAGCTTATAAAGATTAAGAAAGGGCAATATCACTTTAAGATTATTCATGTGTGTGGGCAAGTATGAATGTTCAATAATGCAAATTTGCACACTGATGTGAACATTCATGAAAACGCCTCAGTTTGCATTAGCCTGAAGAGCTCACCCATTCTAGATCTTCAAAAATAAGAAAAAGAAATACATAAAATTATTTGTAAAATACCTGCTTTCATTACTGAAATAACTTTTGGAATTTAGATGAGAGGGAAGAAAGTCAGCCTTAACAAAAGCCCATAAACATGGGTTATAGATTGTTAGACATGAGAGAATGTTGGCTCAGAAACAGACCCCTGAAGTGTCGATCGTCATTCATCCCAGGACTTACGTGCACATGCCATTCTGGGCATCACCCACTTGCCGTCTCCAAGGCACATGGCTCTGGGGTAGCCATCTTGGAAATAGCCCTTGTGACAGCGATACACCACCTGGCTGCCTGGTGGGAATCTCCGCTCCCGTTTTGGCAGAGATGACTGTGGCTCTCCATTGACAATAGGGGGAGGAGGACCACAGAAACCTGAAATAGCATAATGAAATTTTTGCTGTTTTGGACAATTATTAATTTTTATCCTTTTGTTTGTATTTTGCTGAAATTTGGGTTGCTGATAACTTGAGTACTCACTGTACAGTTATGTTGTCCAGTATGTTATTCTAGAAGAAAAGAATTTGAATTAAATATAAAATGAGGAGAATTTAGCAACCCTGCTAAATGTGATCTATTGTTACTGTAACCTTTTTTTCAATAACAATATTATTTAGCAGTAACTATCAAGCACAGTCAAGTCAAAAGCTAGTCATTTAGAACGCCCTCTAAACCCTTAGTACATTAAATACAATAAAAAATTCCTCAAAAAGAGGAAAAATAAGAAAACATTCTTAAAAATGAGAAAAAAAATGTGAAACTAAAAAATAAGTACAGCATAGTTACATAGATACAAATTTAGCATAAATTAAAATTCAAATTGATATTAATTGAAATGTACATAATATCTGGTTGATTGGTTACGCAATGCCTGAAAATATCGTTCACAACTCAATAAGAAAACACACATCACTATAATTCTATATTTTACCATCTTTGGAGCAGTATGGTTCCTCTCCACTCCACTGCTTGTCTCCACCGCATATCCTCTCTGGTGGACCGTTCAACACGTATCCCTCCGCGCAGCCGTAACGTGCACGCGCGTCAAACTTGTTGTATGGAATGATTTGTACATAGCCATGGGAAGGAGGCTTTATGTGTGAGCATCTAGCATCTGGAAGTAAAAAATTTTAAAACTCCTTGAAATTTTCTTTGAACAAAAATGCATTGTTACAGAGTGAGTGGATTTTTCTTACATATATAGCCGTTATCGATAGGGAATTTGAGATGTGAGCACTTTAAGAAAAATGCTAATTAAATTACAACAAATATTTGTTTGAATACTCTCAGGAATTATTGAATTTTTTGGAATGGAATCTTTTTTTTTTCTTTTGCTGAAAGAAAGGGGAATTGAAGGAGGAATTCAGTCATGAGCATTTTGCTTCTGAATAATAAATGTCAAAATTAAGATTTGACTTTGAAGAGTACAGAAGCAGGNAATGTTGGCTCAGAAACAGACCCCTGAAGTGTCGATCGTCATTCATCCCAGGACTTACGTGCACATGCCATTCTGGGCATCACCCACTTGCCGTCTCCAAGGCACATGGCTCTGGGGTAGCCATCTTGGAAATAGCCCTTGTGACAGCGATACACCACCTGGCTGCCTGGTGGGAATCTCCGCTCCCGTTTTGGCAGAGATGACTGTGGCTCTCCATTGACAATAGGGGGAGGAGGACCACAGAAACCTGAAATAGCATAATGAAATTTTTGCTGTTTTGGACAATTATTAATTTTTATCCTTTTGTTTGTATTTTGCTGAAATTTGGGTTGCTGATAACTTGAGTACTCACTGTACAGTTATGTTGTCCAGTATGTTATTCTAGAAGAAAAGAATTTGAATTAAATATAAAATGAGGAGAATTTAGCAACCCTGCTAAATGTGATCTATTGTTACTGTAACCTTTTTTTCAATAACAATATTATTTAGCAGTAACTATCAAGCACAGTCAAGTCAAAAGCTAGTCATTTAGAACGCCCTCTAAACCCTTAGTACATTAAATACAATAAAAAATTCCTCAAAAAGAGGAAAAATAAGAAAACATTCTTAAAAATGAGAAAAAAAATGTGAAACTAAAAAATAAGTACAGCATAGTTACATAGATACAAATTTAGCATAAATTAAAATTCAAATTGATATTAATTGAAATGTACATAATATCTGGTTGATTGGTTATGCAATGCCTGAAAATATCGTTCACAACTCAATAAGAAAACACACATCACTATAATTCTATATTTTACCATCTTTGGAGCAGTATGGTTCCTCTCCACTCCACTGCTTGTCTCCACCGCATATCCTCTCTGGTGGACCGTTCAACACGTATCCCTCCGCGCAGCCGTAACGTGCACGCGCGTCAAACTTGTTGTATGGAATGATTTGTACATAGCCATGGGAAGGAGGCTTTATGTGTGAGCATCTAGCATCTGGAAGTAAAAAATTTTAAAACTCCTTGAAATTTTCTTTGAACAAAAATGCATTGTTACAGAGTGAGTGGATTTTTCTTACATATATAGCCGTTATCGATAGGGAATTTGAGATGTGAGCACTTTAAGAAAAATGCTAATTAAATTACAACAAATATTTGTTTGAATACTCTCAGGAATTATTGAATTTTTTGGAATGGAATCTTTTTTTTTTCTTTTGCTGAAAGAAAGGGGAATTGAAGGAGGAATTCAGTCATGAGCATTTTGCTTCTGAATAATAAATGTCAAAATTAAGATTTGACTTTGAAGAGTACAGAAGCAGGTGGCTCTCTTGGTTACAACTGAGACTACATCATTGAGAAAGTCAATGTGACTAAAATTAAAAAGATGAATAAGAAAATGTGAACAAGCACCTGTACCAAATTGCAATAATATGTTAATTATCAAATTATTTCCCCCATCTTTGAAAAAATAGAAATTTTATTAGTTATGATGAAATTAGTGTATCACCCCCACCCCCCAGAGAAGATTACTCATACGCCCTTGTCGGACACCAAGTGCAATCTTTTCCAATATTCTCAATCATCCATAAAAAATTGCAGACTAAGGACCTCAATCAGCCGTCTAGACACTAGATTTGTCAGATAGGGAGTTATGATTTTTGTGATACTTATCAAACCACCCACATCCAATGTGATTACAGACAAGCCCTAGCAGGAACTGTAGTATATAATCTTTCCCCTGTGTTCCCAGTAAAATCTCTCCGGGGATCTAAATGTATTGACACGGCATCATTGACTATTTCCACAATCAATTCTCCAAGTCCCGACAGGGGATCCAGTTCAACTGATGTTAACTAAATGCATTTTGCTAATCAGTCTCTCCACGTCCCCATAGTGTGCTTATCCATGCTGTCAGCAGCTGATAGAACAAAAAAATATAATACAATGTATCCCCCTAGGACCTCACTCACTCACTCTACCCTCTACCACACAGTTTTACATCTGTGGGACCTGAACAAAAACATACTGGTGATACAAGAGGGTAGAGATACTTTTTGCGTTCCGTGTGATTGGCCTTATTTTTCTAGCATGATACGTTATTTGAGCCCAATATTCTGCATGAAACTTGATTCAGGAATTATTGGTGATTGACCTGAATATATCTAAAATCTTTGTTATTGGTGATTGAGCTGTTTTAATTCTTGGTGATTGGTGATTAAGGTGGGGTATGCCCTACCCTCATGCAATTTCTCTCTAGGACCTTCCTTCTTACAGAATTACAAAATATTAACCTATGTTATCAACAATATAAGAATGCATGGTTAAGAAGAAAAGATAATTAGCTTTTTTAAAAAAAGCAAGAGCAAAACCATAGATAAGGTTTGACAATGTGGCACTACTACCCCACAAGGGCAGAGGCACAAAGAAAGTTTTTTTTAAATAAATGCAATCTGTATGCTAACCCTTTCTTTATCTTTATTTTATTTCATTATATTTCTCTTTCTTTTCATTTATCTATATATTATTATTTTAATCTTTTTTTATTATTATTATTAATGGGGAGGGGCAATTCTGTATGTGTTGCCTGTGTTTCTTCAACCACCACTGTGATCTGGTGCCAGCAAAGACAACACACTGCAGTCCACCATGATGGATATATGTACTTTTACTTCCTCAGCTATAATAAATGTATCCGTCCTGGACCTCTCTTCACAGTGCGTTGACCACATAAACCACAGAAGTGTGCCAGCCACATGTGTTCACTGGTTGCTGGTCAGATGTGCTGGGGCACTACAAATTAATATCAGGGAGGAGGAATGATGCCTGAAACTCTTTAACAGTTGTGGGGTTCAATGTTACTCCCTACCCACATTCGTAATAAAACTTGTCACTTGGGCATGAGAGAGCAGGGGCGGATCCAGAGCTATTTACTGACAGTCTTCCAAATTATTTTTGTTGATTCATCCTCCAATTTTGACCGTCTTCCAACAGAAAAAATTAGATACCCGTCAATGTTAACTTGAAAATCTGACCGTCTTCCGGAAGACCCAGAAGACGGCCTAAATCGGCGCCTGGAGAGGGAATATAACAACAAGAGTCTGAAGTTTTCTCAGACCTTTATTTTTGTTTCTCTCTCCTCTGTCTCCAATCCACTCTGTAAGTTTGTTGATTATTTTGCCATCATTACACAGTGCACTGGCCTGTGCCACAAGTCAACTGAAAGGAACTGACAGCTGAGGTGTTTTATTGCATTCCACTGAGGAGAATTATAAAATACTGTTGGAAAAGAACACATTAATGACAAGCTGTAAGGCTAATTGTAGCCAGCCTCTGGAAACATTGGTCTATATCCAGTCTAACTTAGCTCTGATGTGAACACACCACTTGGAAACTTCTCAGATCAATCTTGTGATAAAATTAATATAATCAAGATTAAACTAATTTTTTTCATATGATACTTAATTCTGATTGATATTGTTTCAATCATGCCAATTTCATAATCAAATTATGCATATTTGACCTTGTGAAGGACAGTAAGCATTTTCCTTCTACACGTTTTCTCTTCACAGAGGATTTTATGTAAAAATGTTCTTTTAAGAAGATCAAAAGCCTTGTGTAGGAGGGTGTATAAAATGTTTCCATTTTTGATGTTCCGCAGACATCTGGAGTTACCCAGACCAAGAACACACCAATTAACTAGCATCTGTCACTTTGATACAGTAAGGTGTGATTTCTATTTTTAAGGACAAGAATTTTGTTTTTATTTTCGTTCCTCTCTGCAACAACACGTCAGTGCAAATTCATCACTTTAAATGGTGTTGTTTGTTGCATGTATTACTTCACCCACACGGACATTCATAATAACTGGAATTACCATTAAGTGAACCTTCCCAAACAGATGCCGTGCATAAAACATGTGAAGGCAACTAACGTAATGTGCCTTAAGGTTTGCAACAGCCTCACATGTTAGATAAAAATTCCTCAAAAATTCTCAAGGGAACTGCACCTGGGGATTTTTCACAAAAAAATAGCAACAAGTATTTTTGTCTCATTTTTTTCTAATACTAACAGACTATTACCCTATCAAGGTACATGCTCAAAGGTACATTTAAATCATATAGTTTTTAGACAAAAATTTTCTTCCCATGGTTTTATCAACGTTAACTGTTACATGCATACCTTGCATTTTCACTTAACATAAAAACTATGTTTGTGGGCAGTGGTTTTAATCTCACGACTTAAAGAGAGTAACATGCCTTTTTCAGCACAAAGCAGAAGTTATTTAAACAGAAAATGATTTTAGACTCTAAAAATTCTTCAAAAAGTCCCTTTAGGATTTTACCCTTTATCACAATGTATTTACTATTAATTTTTCATCACCAGCCAAATCATCAGTAAGAAAAGCCATCAAACCGACCCTTCCAGTCAGAATGAGTTCAACTGGGACTGAATTTGCTGTGATCTCACTTGAAATCAAATTACTCCTCATTTTTTTCTCTCTTTTTTTTTCATTCGTTTTTATTCCTTCATTTTTGGCAAATCAGTTTTTGATCCAGCTTCTGTAAAACTGTTGTCACTGCACCCATCCAACCACTCCAAGACATCACTGTGAGTTTATCCTAATTGAATATTATTTTCATTTCTGGAGAAAAAAAAGGAGTTTAAAAGCATTTTTTCAATCAAAGTTCTTCCCGTTGCATGTTATCAATCCATTTCTTCCTATGTCCTATCTCGTTAATCCCACAAATCTACAATTCATTAGGAGTTCTTGCACAGAACAGTTAGAATCTTCTGTTACAGTGTTATGTCAAAAAGGAAGTTTTCTATCAAAATAGATCAAAAGGGTTTCAAAATAGATCAAAAGCTTTCCACATCAGTCTCAAAAGTGAGCACTTCCACCTTCAATACCTCCCACACAAGTATCGGGAAAATTTTTCCTAACATCCTTCAATGATCGATGTGGAAACAGGGTCCGTAGCAAGGGGGAGGGGGTCGAATGAACGGCCCTTTTTCAGCTTCTTCCCCGTAAAGGGTCCCCTCTAGGCAAAATTAATTAATCTGCCAGTAGGTACATGGAGGGTTAATGGTAAAAGGTCCACATTTTCAGAAAAAGACCCCTTCCCCAAACTCCCATTGAATTTACTGACTATCAGCCCTGAAAATATGAGGAAGCAAAGATGAAGGGGTAGACAGCTGAGGAGATAGACAGATGATATAACAGATGTCCAGACAAAGTGTGCAGAAACCATAACCCAAACACTCATATATCCACTCCCCCATGTTTCCAAATATATATGGTATCTTAAAGTGTTTGCCATAAGATCTGCTGAAACATAAAGTAAGGGGCTTTGGGTGGCGGTGGGGGCCAACCATACAAGTCAACGAATGCAGCTAATTCCAAATTTGCCTTAATTGCGATGTAATCAACAATATCTATGACTATACCATGGGATATTGCTGACAGAAACCTGGCCAACAGCCAGCAATTTCAAACGGGGGGGGGGGGGGTCTTTTTCTAAAAAAGTTGACCTTTAGCCACAAATTTAATTTTTTTTCTGACGTTTATTTATAGTATTTATATTGCAAAAAAATCGTTTTGCCTCTGGTTTATTTTAGAGCACAGTAAGACTTTCAATCTTACTCGGAGTACATCTTTTCCTGGCAAAAAAAGGCAGTTTGTTCAAACCCCCCAAACCCCCCCTGGCTATGGGCCTGCATAGACAGATGTACAGTACAGATGGACAAAGACAAAATTTATCCCAGTCCAATACACTTACTTGGGTTCACACAGCTCTTTCCACACACATCATCACAGAGACACTGCTTATTCTTCCCACGGCAGTTAGCATCCGTCTTACAAGGTTTGAGACACACCCTTTTCCCTATCAAATCATGCTTCCGGGGACAACTGTCTGATAAACCTGGAAGAATAGAACATGGAAATGTCATTTTAAATAATCTGAGTTTTGTAATTCAATCATGGCTTGCACATATTCATGCAAACGCTGTTTCTGCATCAGATCAAATCTTTGAAATATGGTGAAAATTGAGAGACTTGGTTAAACATATCAACCAGCATTTGCAACTGACATAATCTGAAATAATTACACCAGTAGCTATACTAAATTTGGCTGGAAAAATGTTTATTACAAAATTTAACCAAAATATTTGTTTTGTCAACCAGTGATGGTTTAAAAAACTGCTTTTTTAATTGTTATCTACATGTATTTTATTATAATAATAATAATTATTATTATTATTATTATTATTATTATTATTATTATTATTATTATTATTGGATATTAATCACTCCATGGACTTTCAGTTAATTCCATAGCTAATCAATTATTACATTAACTCTTTATCTTTTGTAAACTGTCTGATTGTCTTCAACAGACTAAACACAGGTCAAAAAGAAATATTTAGGCAGAAAATAGTGTTACTGTACTTCAGAAAAGCTGAACCTGAGTACTGAGTATATTTCCACTGAGCACTGTGAAGTATGGTGCATTTCCACGGACCACCTGCTCCCCTGCTGAAACCCAGTCTATTGACTCTTACCCCTAAATCAGATTTTCCGCTTAATAAAACATGCCCTTTTCAAGACCACTATTATACTAACTGTCTATGACCCTAAAACATTCCAAGTTATGTTTTTTTATGGGTCACTTCCACAATCACCAATGTTGGTGAGATCCTTAATTGCTTCAATTTTCAGACAGGTGTGTGAAATGTTGACATGATGGAGTATTTCTTGAATTGCCTCAAACTTTAAGTGACTTTTTTTAGAAGAATTTAAGGCCTCTTTAAAATCAGCAATCTCATTAAGGGACTAAATTGACTCTGAAGTTAATCCTATATTGATAGTTATGCCACATAAACATTGCCATTAACTTTATGTTGATTGTGACGCCTCATGTGAAAAACACATACTGGAAAAATAAAGCATGCAGAGAGGTTTCAGGAAAATAAATAAAGAGCAGGGAAAGTAATGGACAACAAATGGGAACATGGACTTAGGCTTCCTGACAACCTTCACACATGAGACAAATTAAATACCTTAGCCTCTAGCTAGCCACTGCAACAGGGTCCATGCTCTGTGTGGTGTTTGATTACTGAGAACCTTAAAACATTATTCATGTATATTTGTATACTGAATTCAAAGGATAGCCTCATTTGTGAAAGTAGTGTTTTACTGAGCTGTCAACTGCTTTTTTTCTGCACTTTAAAAAAATGTTACCTTTGATATACATGTATAATCCTAACATAATGAAGTGTAGTTGTATGTAGGTGGGCTTCTGCTGGGCTGGCAACCATTTTATCACTTTTAACAATGCCACATAGATAAGATCATTACAAAACACTGTTTATACTGTGTGAACAGACTGCATACTTTATTTAATTATTTTTTTAATGTATATAGATCTACAGTGTAGTACACTAGTATGCCAATTTAGTGTAAAAGTGTAAAAGTTCACCAAATCACCTCAGACATCCGAACAATGACCCAAAAACCAGCTTCCCATTTAGGAAATTCCTACGTAAAATTAGATAACTTCCTACCTTGTAGTACAAAGACTGATCCAATTCAAAGTCCCATTTTTTGTATTTATTCTCAAAATTCACTTTTGATCTTAGGAGTGCTTCATGAGCCCATTTCTTTTACTGTGTGATTCTAGCCAATATATAGACAGTGATAGAAAACATGCAAGCAATGCGAACACATGCAATTCTATTTTTTTCCAAAATAATTCAATTTAGTGATTATCTAATTTTAACAAATTTATCTAACACGATTTCAAGATTTTATTTTAAGCAATGAAAATAGGGAATATTGCTCAGCAATATCTTGTAGAAAATGAAAATTTACTTTCCACATACAGACACAACACTCAATCTCAGCTGACATAATTTATATCTTTTCAAGTTCTGTCAATGTTACAGTTGTTAATTGTTATTTTTCATGCCAGGTCCTTCTTTCCGCCTTAGGTAGTGAACTTTTCCATTTTAGAAATAAAACATTATCGACTGAATAACTGTTTGTTTTAAGGAAAGAACACATCCACTATACATGCACTGATAACCCCATGTTTTTCTCCTTTCTTCTAAAAAAACTAATATCAATAATTTAAATAATACATTAACACCCAAACTTAAACCGTGGGTGGCTGGAAATTGAAAACATGTATAAATGATGAGGCTGCCTTCACAATTTACATAGATAAATGTCTGGCACTTCCCCAATTAGTTTCACATGTATGTGTTTAAATAATTTTTGTTCTACTGGGTATATACATCAAGGCAAATCTGCATAATTCCAGAAAAAACCTTTATCTTGTTGGTTCATACAATTTCATGCCATGTAATCACCCTTAGCATTGCTTAATATGGCCGTGATTCATGATTCAGTAATTGCATTAACTAATGAATAAGGAGAATATCCTCAGTCTATTAATCATTGTGTATTTTGCCATTCTATTTAAACAGCACATCGTTATCAGCAATCATTTAAGCTTCAACACATTCTGGAAAATTTGGAATAATTTTAATTAAAATGGCTCCATTTCAAAATTATTTGATATTTGGCAAAAGAAGAAGTCACCTCATAACACAAAGTAAGAAATAATTATAATCACAACTAGTTGCTGAACTTCAGGTTGACCAAGCCTAGAAGCTAGTTGTCACAAGTGCATCCTTTCCTGGCATTTTGACTACTCATTTAATAAAATTTAGAGCAGGGACAGGTAGCACAATGTTTTCAGAGCTAAAATATCCCAAAATTGGAAAATTGACCCTCCCCCCTCCCCTCTCCTCACCACATGTATATAATACACACACACATCAAAAAGTCTCTGAAAGCTTCTTGTTCAACCCTATCCATAAACAATAGGCTGTAAACTTCCAAATTACCCAAATCAGTCTCCCTGGAGATCTATTTACAATTTCTGTTCATTTAGCCGCTTGTCTAGGTGATCAATAGATAAAAGCCGGCAGCCAGACAAATAGTTGAAGTTCCCAAGACCTGATAATGAGAACTGAAAATGATTCAACTCTAAAAACTAGCATGTATTCAGCTGTTATAAATAACAATGTGTCATCTCGGTCAACACTAATTAAAACAACGAAAATAAAAATAAAAGTTAAAAACAGAAACCATTTAGTTTTGTAAGAATAATAACAAAATATTGATCCACATCGCTTTAAACTTCCTTTTCGTTTAAAAAGAATCTGTTTAAATAGATCCTAAAGAGATGACCAATGTATTAATTAGGTCTTCAGGCAAATTCAATTTAACCTGCTACACCTGTGGCTGTGCCAGCCAGGCCATCTTCACTATGGCTCTATTCTCATAGATTTTAGATCGATCTATCCCCGCGGGGAGTCTCACTAGATTACTTTCAGATAATCCGACTTAAATGTCCGTCCCGCCTACTACAAGCTGTAAGGGGGTAATTAACTTTCGTGTCCGCCCAGCTGACAGCCCCCAGTGTGAACCCCCAGGGAGTTAGGTCGATCTAAAGTAGGTCGATCTAATCTATGGAAATGGGTGTAAGGGGGTATTCAGAGCAAGTTGATCCGTGGTCAAACAGACAAACGGGACTAAATATGGCCGACTCACTTAAAAGCAGCAATGACTAATTACCTGATGGTCTCCCTGCCTCTATATGCACTGTTACTGCAGGGGCCTGGCAATTAAACCTCAAAGCCGAGATTTAATATGATTAATTGGTGCATGTGGAGGCAGGGCCGGTGACCATCAGGAAATTGGCAGTGGCGCTTTTCAGTGGGGTCAGCCATATTTAGTTGTCAGATCAGTTGGTCTGTGGCTCATCTGTTCAGAATGCGCTCTAATTCAGACATGCTTTGAACTGGTTGTGAGGTGTGATGTGACTGGTTAACTGTTAACATTTTTTAAAACATTTGGCAACTGCTAAAGATTTAGAGTCACTAAATTAGCCAAATGAGATTTTTAAAAAAAAACAAATTTTGTTAATTTTTCACTCCTACATGTATTTTTTATACATTTAGCTAAAGCTTGGATCCATAATACTAGTACATATAATCCATATAACCATGAGTGATTGCAATCAACTTTTGTTACCAAGGTTAAAAGTAATCCAACAAGTTACCACTAAACAATGCAATCATCAGATAATCCATGCTCTAAGGGACAGTTTTGAAAATAAACCCAATGCAAATCCATTTTCAACTGGTCTCACGAATATTGCTGTGTGAATCCTCCATTACGTATCAGAGGAACACAGTGACCAGTGAGTGAAGTATCCGTGGTTCACTGAGGGACAAACTGTCAAAGCCAGAAAAGTTTCCCATAATGAAAAAAAAACTTGTTGAAAGACATTTATCAAATTTGCACAGTAACTATGTTGATATTTCAAACAGGTTGACATGACTCCATTGATTTGTAATGCCTAAATAAGAAAAGTGACCACAAAAAATTATAAAGCTTGGGCAGTTTCCATGCTATGCAGAAAGACTTTTAGAATGAGAAAGTCAGAAAAAGTTCAAGTAAATTAAAGGTTTTCCTTGCCTCAGTGATACTCAAAGACGATTAATTTGTTTTAAAAAAATTACATATTTGAACTTCCTGAAAATTCTAAATTTGAATTTGAATTTTAAAAAATGATTTAATTGTGAATTACATTTGGTGCATTGTCTCGTGAATTCAATTAAAGTATGCTGATGCATATTAACAAATTTACAAAAAAAAGTACCTTATGGCAAATTAAAAAACTGTTAAATGCAAAATAATTATAAAAGAGGATAGGGTAAAATGTTACAAAATTATGTTTTTTCTTTCCAAAAAAATGACAACAGAGAAAATGTATTGATCTGATTGATACAGTAGAACACATAAATACAGGAATAAGTATATTCTGCTTGTTGTACAATTATATCCATG